GTCCAGGCAGTATTCCACACTGCCAGAGCTGTAGCAGAAGAAAAAGGAAGGAGGCGGGGCACTGTGGAGTACGAGAAAGAGACAAATGCAGGATCAAAAAATATGTAAAGGATGAGAGAAATTCGTTGTGGAATACAAGAAACATCTAGTGATAAAAACAGATAAAGTTTGACCAATGATAAGAAAACTCATCTTCCTATTAAAAATTGCAATATCCTATATATAGCTGCATACACCCCCAAATTATCTATGATGTTGTAATGCTTCAAAATTAGGGTACATAGCATGTATCAGCACATAGACTTAACCATTCTATCCTTTTCAAAGTTAGTCATGAAGTACATGCCAAATTAGGATAGTATTTATCAACTACATACTATAATATGGGCTGTTGTACAGCTGATATGAAGTTGTTTATCAACTAGCTTTTAAACTTGGTAGCTCTCCCATTTCCTTCTCTTAGTTAAAACAAGTTTCTCCATGTCACTTAAAATTCACAGACTAAAGACAGGAGAGAGAGCATCACCTTTTTGCCAAGTGCTCCTATGACTTAAAAGCGATAGATTTGTTCATGACCCTGTCTGATTTTTGGCATGCAGCAGATAAACTCTGAGAACACACACCACATGGAGAAGAACAAACACCAAAGCACCATTCACTTTATATTTTTAAATACCATATCAAGGCTACTCAAAAGATCTAACAGGAAAAGAAAAAAAATGATGAGAGTATCATTGTCATGTTCTGTGTCATAAATAGGTCCCAGTTCATCTTCTTTAGACATCAGCCATTAGCATATACTCAGAATCCCTGGTTCCTTTCTGCCTGATCACCAGATATCTCCTTGGAACCACTCTGCTAAGACACAAAAATAATACATGGAAGACATAGCACCATAATGCTCGAGTTCTTTGCCATTTCTGGAAATGCTAATTTCAGTAATAACTACATGCCTTCTCTTCCTAAAATGTTAGCACTGCCATATAATCTGAGTCATTGTCCTGACTTTGAAGCTCTCAGCTTCCCCAAACACTACAGGAGGCACACCAAGAAAGCTAGACAAAGGCATGCACTAGAATGATAATTCCCAAGTAATAGGTTCCTCTAAGCGTATCTTTTTATTCTGAAGCCTTGAAGAAAAAATTAAAACTGGCCTTAACCAAGACCATAGAAGATAAAAATCTCCATTCTTCTAGGGTTGCCCCTATCAACAGCGTTGTTTCTAGGAATGCCCTATACACCAAAGAATGAACTGACAAAAAAAAACTTCAGGCTTGTAGCAACTCAGAGCCACAAAGACCAGCAATATAGACAGATGGCACAAAGGCCTTGAAATATCTGTGAAGCAGGAAAATTCTGGACAGGTAGAAAGAACAGACCTAAATGGCATGTCAACAACAATGAGACTGGGTCCAGGAAAGGTGTGCCCAGTCCCTGGTCATCAAACAGCAGGAACTCCTGTCCTTCCTGGTCTTCCAAACTCTGTAACTGACAGCTACCACCATTCAGTCAGCAGAATGGCCTTTGGCACATAGGAAGGGTCCTGGAGGTCACAGGAAAGCCAGCAGCCTATGCCACTTAACTCCCACTGAATTTTGGACAGATTATTTTACTTCTCTGAGTCTTGCAAAATGGTGATAATAAAGCTTGCCTTGACTACTTCCCAATGTCACTGTGAGGGTCAAATACAGTAACATACATTGAAGTGTATTATAAAAGTATAAGAGCTTTTAAGAGGATGGGCTTCCTACAGTTACATAAACCTTAGCTAAATGAAAGAAAGTATAAATTATAGCCAAAATAAAACTCTCCTTACAAATAAACCTCTACCATAATGGTATGCCACCCAGTCAAAGAAACCACCTACAGCTGAGGAACTCAGAATGTTAAGACTGAAACAGGCCAAGTCACAAGTGGCTCAGGCTTCTGACCAGAGCTCAGTCACACTAGTCAGTGATGGAAGCAGCTGGCTCTTGTACCATCTTCACTCTTTCCTTCTTCCAAGAAAGCACTCTCTACTCTCATGTATAGCTCTGTCCACCCTCTCTGCTACCTTGTGCTTGTCATGGAGACTGCTGTTCCCTGGCTACAGCTAATACAGGACTGTGGGGTGGGGTTCATGTGATCACAGCAGGGCCAGTCACAAGGCTATTCTCAAAACTTTAAAACTAGAACTAAGAGGAGCAGCTGCTCCCAGCAGACACCAGGGAATCTGAAGCTTGGGTGCAGTGTGCAGCCAGTTTCCCACTAAATAGAAGAAGCTGGTTTGAGAAGATGTTAACTCTCAGAAAGGCAGCTGTTGCTGCAACACCTGAGTTCTACATGTCTTATGTATATAGACCACCCCACCATCCCTGCCCCCAACACACAGCTGCCCCTTCTAGAAATATGTGAACTCTCTAGGAACTCCTAACAAAATGTTAAATCAGGTTTTGTAACACAATTAGGATGCACTGCCCCACGTTAAAGAAATAGTATGCAGATGCATGGTCCATTCAAACTGGCATCTCCTTCATGCCAAAGGATATTTGCAGGGGACCGTGATTATCCTAAGTAAATTCAACCTAGAATGGCTTTTAAAACATCTTAGCTTGCCATCGTATCCATTATGGCTCTGTGAATTTACCTTTACCTCTCCTGCATCTGTTTGTATTTTCAGTCTTTATCTATTCTTAAAGATAATTCAATCAAAATATACAGTCTACCTTGTGAAAGCAATGCTTATTTGGTATATTTGTTATAATTTAAATAAATTCATAATAAGCCTTTTCAATGCTCAAGGTATGACCTACAAATTCTGTCAATTTTGTTTGTGTGGCTTATGAGTTTCTATCTTTACTAAAATTAAGAGAAAAGATATCTCAGCCTCTTATCTCTCCGTCAAATCAATTTAACTGTCTTTCTCTAATTCTATGATTAAGTTCAGTGAATAAAACCATAACATTCTTGTATAACTCCAATATCCCTGAGAGTTTTAATGAATGTTACAGAAAATAAGTAGAAAGAGTAAATAGTGAAATAGAGGTAGAAATAGAAAAATTGGAAAGAATTAAGAACACTGAATTCATCCTGTGATAAATACAACATAAAAAGACTGGGAAAAATATTTTCAAATTGTTATTTCTGGGCGGTAAAATGATGGACAAATTCTTTTCTCCCTTTTTATTTTTCTGCATTACTAAAATTTCTTTTTTTTTCTTTTTAGGATTTTATTTATTTTTTAAGGAAGGGAAAGGAGAAAGAGAGGGAGAGAAACATCAATGTGTGGTTGCCTTTGGTGCATCCCCTACTAGGGGGAAGTGGCCTGCAACCCAGGCATGTGCCCTAACTGGGAATTGAACCAGCGACCCTTTGGTTGGCAGGCCGGCACTCAATCCACTGAGCCACACCACCTAGGGCAAAATTTATTTACTGGGTAGGTATTACTATTCTAAAAAAAATAAATAACTAAAAATATACTCTGAAAAAATGTGTAATGAAAAGATAATTGGTCAAAACTGAGCAATGGATCATGGCAGAGCCTTACTAAATGTTGTTGGGACTCTAGACCGTTGCAGGAAAATCAGCTCTGGCTAGAGACCTCAGCCAGTTCGCAACCCTCCTTGTTTCAGAGGTAGACAACAAAACATAAAGTTCTGACCCTTTCACCAGGAAGCCCATTCCACTTTAGTAGGCACACATACCTAAAAAAGAAAGCCACTTTTAAAAGATATTTTTAAAACAAATATAAAGGATCTCTGAACAAAAAGGCTGAAAGTCCGAAGTAGCATGCTCTGATTTCAAAGAAACTGAGCAAGGTTGGGCTCTGAAGCTTATGGCCAAAGTTCCCAACAGTAAGAAGCTAAGTGGCTACTCAGGGAAAATGGACCTGGATCCTCCCCAACTACTAGCATGTATTTAGTGTTCAACACATATTTATATAAAAATGATAGTGAACTGAGCAATCACAAGGAAATGTGTAGGTGACTGAAGAGGTACCATTAACTTACTAATGGGGAAGAGGCCCACAGGGGAGGCTTCCTGGAGAAGGTGACACTTGCACTTCTTTAAATGATAAGTAGGCATTTGGCAGACAGAGAACATGGAGAAGAGCAGGCCAGGGTCCAGGCATACATAAAGTCAAGAGTATTCAAAAAAAGAGAACTTGGACTGGGGCAAATGGCTTAGCTTCTCAGAAACTAAAGTGCAACTGAACCTCGAAGACAGGGTAGTTGGACAGAAGTGAAAGAAAAAGACTGTGTAAGCAGAGATCATTGCAGGAAGAAATAAAATGTAAGACATTCATTCTTTCATTAAGCGTTTATTAAATGCTTACTCTTTCCCAGACCCCGGCTAAGAACTTCGGGTGCAAAAGAGAGCTCCCATGTAACTCAAACCAACAGAGAGTAACCCCATGAGACTGGCACTGCTCTCCCCAATTTAGAGATGAGGAAATTGATGCTTGACAATGAGCACACTATTTCTCCAAGAACACAAAGCTAATCAATAGCACAAATCTAGTTTTAGGTGTGTTTTATTATAGTCATGCTTTAGCTATTTGTTTCTTAACATCATGATTAAAGCTTAGAGGATATGGGGAAAACTCACATAGCTCCTACTCCGCTCTTCAAAGAAAAAGTTATGAACACTGCTTACTTTCTTTTTATGATTTTTTTTCCTGCCCTGGAGGATAAATATGCAGGACTCATGAGTTCTTACTTATAAAATGTCCCAGGTCTTTGGAACAATTACTAGTAGGACAAGACTGGGCTCTGGAAACAACCTGATTACACTAACTGGCAGCTGATTAAGTCCATCCACTTCAGAATGTGCTCAAATAGCAAAGGGAGTATATCAGTGGCCAGTGAGAAAGGTAAGTCAGGTTCCCACCAAAAAACATTTCATAAAGACAAAGCCAGATTCAGGAGTTGTGCAGAAATATTACACATGCTTTATGCTAGAAAACTCAGACTCCCACACTGCTGAAGGCCTGTAGACGACTACTCAGTAAATGACATTACCTTCCAAGAAGCTGAGATTAATTATTCAGAGGTTGTCTAAAATCAGCACTTGAACTGGCCAGGTCTGCCCACAACTTCCTGCCCAAGGGCTGGTCAAGCTAAGTGCAGGTTCCTCCCATGTGAATAAGCTCTTCTGAAAGTAAGGAAGGAAAGTAAGGAAGGAAAGTAAGGAAGTCCACAAGGTATATTTCTAAACACAAACAGACATACATGCATACAGTTTGACGGAAAAAAAACTGCTTAAATATTCTTTCTAAGATTAACCATGTACACTTATGTAAAGGAAGAAAAACGTTTTTTGCTTTGTTTTGTTTTAGGGTCACTGAAACGTCATTTCTGTCTACTGCAATTCTTCTTGTGCCACATATTTTTACTTTTGTTCAAATAAGAGATCTTCTTGGGGACTTATTAAAAAGCTACAAGACTCTAATCAATAATAGTGCTGATATAAATGTTCTCCATCATTAAATAGGAAAATTAGTTTTTCCTTTTAAGCTTTAACTATTTAATCAGAACATAATTCTCAAGCTTGCATTCCTATAATGCTTTCAAATATATTTTCGCATTCCATTTGGAGAGGCTCTGATATCATTATTTGTAATTGTTATGGCACTTCATATAAAGGCTCATTACTGTATTTGGAGTGTTTAAGGTAGGCAGGCAAGTCTGGGATTCTTATTTCCCAAAAAGTAACCCATCCTCTATCCCCTCAAAACTTGCATTACTTATGCTGTATGTAGGGAAATAAGTATCAAATACAACCCATCCTAAAATACTTTTAAACATGTATTTGCATGAAATAAAGGGCAATTACTTTATTGCAAAATTCGTCTACAGTCCAGTTTGATCAGGGGGATGATTAAAGAACATTTTCAGCCTTAATGGACCTAAATGAGTTTTGTTTTTTTGGTTTGTTTGTTTGTTTTTGCATTGTAAGCTGTCCTGAGTTCATTTCTGTCCTTGCTTTCTTTTATTCCTCATACATTAGGGTTTCCCAATATTTTAATAGTTCCTTTGAGATGGCTAAGTAACAGGATTCAGTCTCTGTTCTGAGCTGGCTTTCCACATTAGATTCCACTCCAACTTAGTAGAACTGACAAACATACAAAACTTAAACTACAGAAAAATATTTAAAATACGACCTAAACATTTAATTGTAGGGCAGAAAAGAGGGATGGAAACTTCTATCGTATTTCAAAGAGTAGAGATATTATCTTATACAAACTAAACCTGCAAAATGCTAGTATTCCCAGGGCATTTCTGAGAAACATTTAAGACCATTCTAAATTACAAGAAATGCTTACCCTGCTGGGGAAAAAAAGCAGTTATGTCTCCACTGGCCTATGAAAATCAAGGCCCCAGGTCTGACCACCTCACAAGTATCCGTTCTAAGCTTCAGCTTTTGCTGTCCTGGGATATTTGAGTTCTTCAGGCAAATGGAAAACAAGAGGCAAAAGGAAAACAAGAGGCAAAAGGACCTAAATAGTACTTTTTAAAATTTACCCTTCAAGTTATAATACAATGCTATGGTAGGCAACTCAATAAATAAAGTAAATTAAGTGTTGGGAAAAAAAGTGTCATCTCAAGGTTCAGTGGCTTTACATTTGTCTCATGGGTAGATCTCTAAATTTCTGTTAGCTGTTGGTTAATGTGCTCACTTTTCAGTATATAGAGTAAGCTTTTCAGATTCTCCTTCCAGAAGTTTTCTGAAACTGAGCACAAACTGCGCCCATCAAATAATTTTAATATAAAATACTTCTCATATAATTTTTGTTTACTAAGGACCCAACTTTACTGTAGCTGTGGTGCTCATTCAGCCGAGGAAGGGTACAGTCTCCTCCCCTCAAACGCATAATTTACTGGAGTTGATTTCTTAACAAATACATGTGTAGCCTCCAATGTTATGTCGTCATATTAACGTATCATTCTACAGAAGGGCCAAGCCTCTCTGGCTTTCACTCCCTAGTCCCAAACTCCTTTTATTCTGCCACTTAACGGGGCCCACCATGTATGGCAACTGACTGGTCATCCCAAACTACTATAGGCTCTGGACAGCTGATCATGAGGGACGGGGCTGAAAGACCCGACTTCAGCAGTTCTGTCATTACTTAATGACCTGAACCTGTCTAAACCACCCCATATCCTAAACCCTACCACCATCCTGCTTCCCTCCCTCCTCGGCAGCCAAGGCTTGTCCAGGGCAGAGGCCGTGTTTCCCCTGCCATTTCGGGATTACTGAATCCTAGCTTCTAATCCAGTAGAAGCCCAGACGCAGGGCCCAAAGCCGAGGGGGGAAGAGAACACCAAACTACATCTCCTTAGGGCAAGACCTCCGGGCATCACAGCGCACCCCAAGTCCTTGAACCCACTCTGCGCTCCACTGGCTGAAGGCCGCTCCCAACAGCCCACCAGAGTCACAAAGAATGGAAACGAAGCCGGATCGGGAAGCGGGGGGAGGGGGACGGGGTACTCGGTTTCTGCACTTTCAGCTTTGTGTTTTAAAACCGCAACTGGCTGTAACGTGTGACCAAGAAAAGGAACAATGTGTTCAGGAAAAGAATCTGGTTCAGCACTCGGGGCCCAGGGGCGCGCAGAGCCTGGGCGGGCTGTGCCTAGTCTCAGTGAAGGCGGTAGGAACCGCAGGGGTGCACACGGGGTTGAAGGCTGCAGGAGCCAAGGACCCGCTGGGAGCGCGCCTGAAAGCCCCTAAAAGAAACCAGCTCTGGCGCCTCCCTAGAGGCACGACCTGCGCGCTCTCGAGCAAGCCGCGCAAGGCAGAGGGCGGGGGACCCAGCATGCTGCCCTAGGCGGGCGTGTTTACCTGGAAGCAGGATCACGTGCTGCTGGGCGCCAGGGCCTTCCCGGTAGTCCACGGGGCTAGCCATGCAGCCTGCCTAATCCCGAAGCCGAGCACGGTGCCTGCGGGCCCGGAAGTCGCCGGCCTTAGCTCTGGAAAGACCGGGTTTAGCGGCAACCCGCCGGAAAACGACGAGAGCAGGGTCTCTTCCGGGTGGCGCGGTGCGTTGACGGCCTAGAGAGGCCCAGGAGGAGGCCAGCCGTATGAATTCGGTTTTGTTTCCGGAGCCATCGTGTTTTTAACTTCCGGAGCCGGATGCGTTTATTAACGTGAAAATTTTGCGCCAAGCAGGAAGTGGTCTGAGTGCTGGCGCCTAACCGTTGGCAGGGGTTATGGTCGCGACCTACCCCCTCCACCTTCTCCGCTAGTGGTAGCTGCTCACCCAGGATGCGGAGTGACGCTGCACCCACCCGCGGCGGCGGCGGGGTCACCTAGAGCCAGGTCATTGCACCCAAGGGCCCTCCTACCAAGGTGGTGGCGAGGCCGAGGGACAGCCAAGCGCGGTAGCAAATGAGGCCGGACTCGGGGGAGGGGATTGGGGCCCCAAGATGGAGGGGAGCGTTCGAACACACCTGGCAAGGGAGGAAAAGCATCGAGCGAGTCCGAGTTAATGACAACTGCTATCATATCTGAATCCTTACGTACTCTTGGTTTTCAAGGTATCTTGATCACCAATTGTATTCTACGTAGGAATTAATGTCAGAATAGTGTGTGCTTTGTGATTCATAACACATGTAATCAATTCTCAAATTGGGCTGATTCCTTATCACTAAAAAGAGATTTTACAATTTGAGGCTCAAAATATGAATTTGCTCTTTTGGAAGACTTTGTAATGAGTTTAAAATTAAGACTTTTTAAAGCAATGTTTTAAAAAGGTAGGGTTATTAAATTGAGGGACTTAAACTTTTAAAAATAAAATTGTAATTGGAAAGGTGATGTTTGGTGTACATGGTTTTAAAAAACATAATACATATTTCTCCTATATTTTAAAGAAAAAGTATGTCTTCCTCTGACAGATCCCCCAACTACCTTTACCTGGTCAATTACTGTTTACTATTTCTTTTCTACCAGAAATTTTCCATGCACTTAAAAATTCTTATGTTTTGCTTTTTGAACAAATGGAAGAATAATATATATATATAACTTTTTATGCACTTTGCTTTTTTGGTGTAACCTTGAAAATAGTTAAATTTGGCAGCACTTTCTCAGCCTTCTGAAAAGATCTAGTTTCAATCCTGTTTCTCCCTCAGAGGGAGACAGCTGAAGTTGACTGCAGGTGATGGAGAGAAAGAGGAGGTTTCTGGCCAAGGAGGGGGTAGACATCAGATTGATCTTGTCCTGATCTCTTCCATCCCCTAAAATTATATTTGGGTAAAGCTGTCGTGTAGACCAAATCTGCAGGCACACCATAATGGTGACTAACACCTACAAGAGAAATGCTACACACAGTTCCCGTGCTCTGACATACAGAACTGTTTTTATTTTCCTCTGATCCTTTCCAGCCATTGGCTGTATGAATATGTGTTTATATGTGGTTGTTTTCACAGGGTAAAGCAAATTTTGTCTACTTTTCTCCCTTTACGTCATCATAAACATGTTTCCCATGGCATCCAAAACTGTCATTGTTAATGGAGGCATGGTATTTCACACTGCTAATATACCAAGATTACTTAACAATTTCCCACTGTGCAAGATTTAGGTTATTTCTTATAAATAACCTAACTATAGTAGTAGTATAAATAATGCTACAAAGTATACTATATACAGGCTATGCAGCAGTTAGAAACAATGAACTAGCTGTACACAAAATGAACTAGATGTACACATGAGTCCTTTATATCAAGAAAAAAAGTTAGGCACAGGAAGAGATTTATAACAGTACCATGTAGGTAAATTTAAAAAAAAAAACATTGAAAAACTAAGTGTTATAAGGATACACGCACATTTAAGGCCATGTATCAAACATATAAGAAATGGGTGTCTTCAAAATGGAAGAGAATGAGATAAGAGATGGATAAGGAATGAGGGGACAAGGAAAATCAAATGAGAGGGCCCAGGAAGCATATGGATACTTGTCACTGTGTCCTATTAATGAGGGTATTAGGGTAAAAGTAGTTATGAGGGCTTTCTCACGTTTAGATCCAAGAGCAAATACATTTTTAAAAAATGTGTTGCAACGAATACCTCTGAACAATTTCCTTTATCAATTTTTTTGAAAAGTACTTTGGAAGGGTGACTAGTAATGATATTAGAAACTGTAGATCCCTATTGTCTTCAGGGTAAAGTCCAAGGTACTATGCTTTGAACGCATGGACCTTGAAATCTGGTCCTCACTTGCCCCTCCAACCACAGCTCCCACTACCTCTCTCCTCAATCTGTCCATTGTGGCCATGAGGAAGTGCCTTCTGTCACATTAGTACTTGACACTGTCCCAAACTAGGACTGCTCTCCTCTCTACTAGCCTTGTTCCTCTGCCTTCTCCCTTACCCTCCACTCTTGCCTGGACAACTTTTACTCATCCCTCAGCTCTTAGACAATGCCTTCTCCATAGCATTCCTCTTCCTGCCTTCCAGCACCCTTCCCAAGAATGAGTGAGATGCTTCCAACCTTCCCAGTTATCTCACCAGGTAGTGGAGCCTGATTCTTGTCAGTTCCTTAAGGAAGGGCAGCATCTAGTAATTCACCACTTTATCCTCAAAAGATAACAATAGCTTTAACTGAGTACTGTGACAAGCTCTTTCAGTCCTCCAGTAGCTTAAGGGGAGGAATAAGTATGATCCTAACATTTTACAAAGGAAGAATGTAAATTTAGAGAAGTCAACTAATTGCACAACCAGCAAGTGGCAGAGCAGGAACTCCAACCGAGAAATTGGACTCCTAACCTCCCCAGTTGCCTTCCCCAGTGTCTCAGTGCCTAGGACAAAGCTGTACAGATATATCATGAGCTCAGCAAATATTTTCTGAATAAACACATACAGAGATAGGCAGTTATGGTAACAGTCAATGTGACGTGTGGTATCCTAAGTTTTATAAACAACAAATCGATTACATCTAGTATATCATAAAATATATAAATTAATTTTTATTTAGTCCAACTAACATGCAAAATAATAAGCAAGTCATTGCAACCTTGATATCTGTAAGCACAGAATCACAGAAACTTTTCTAAAGGCAGAAGCAAGAGATATTCATTTTCTAGTAAAAACCAAAAAAGGAACTAAGAAAAAAGAATTCAGAGTCAAAATACCTTTAGCCATGCTTAGTGATCAGGTCAGTGAGAATTTCAACTAAAAGTAGTAAAAACCTTTTTTTTTCCTAATACAACAGATTATTAAAAACATATGAGAATTCCTCTCTGATAACAAAATAAAAAAATGAAAATCCACCCTATCATCACATTTATCCTGAGAAAAGATTGTTGCCTTGTTTTTGTCTTGTTTCTGAATGTTTATCTAGGGACAACCGAGAGGCAAAATGATACTCAAGCATAATCTTTAGGAAGGAGGAAAGATCAGCTCCTGAAAGGACCAACTGTTTAGAAAGGGGATGAATGGGTAGTACTGAACCACTCTTTCCAGGACATAATTTCTTTTCTGTTCACTCTCTTATTTAACCCAGCCTGAAATAGGATTGCACTTGTTGCAAAAGGAGCAGTGTGATACATACCCACAAATAAATTTGTGAGATCTGGCAGTTACAGAATAGGAATAACTGAAGCTTTTGAGAAAGAAAGAACAGCTCCAGATGGGGAGAAACTGACCCAGTGCTCAGAACCAGACCATGTCTTTACCAATTAGAAAGTGTCCCAGAATACCAGTCTCAGACGATCATGCTCTGAGACCACAAAAAAAAAAAAAAAAAAAAAAATGAGACAAAGCAGTTCACTTCATGATTTTGGCAAAGTACAGAAGAAAACAGGTCACTGTGTCTCCCATAAAATACCAAGCATGCACTCTTATGGCCAAAATAAGTGACCACTACTTCTTTATTAATTACAGCTCTATCCACCTTTTCAGCTTCGCCTTTCTGTAGGCAAAATGCATTGAGATATGCAATCACAGAATTGCCCGATTTCTAACGGCACCCAATCTAGAGTGAATCCCTGCTCCCTCAGATCCTACCCCAGTCACCCAACTAAAGCTTAAATCCTCTAACATTTCCTTCTAGCACCCTCTTACTGAGACCCCCATGATTTCCTATGGCCTGTGTTCTCCTTCCCTGTAATGAGAAACAAACCCAACTTGTTCAACATGTGTGTTCCAGGTTGTCTTAGGCTAAAGCATGTTGACACTGAGTTTACACATTTTCATGTGTGTATGTACATTTTCTTGCATATATATCAAGGTAGCAAGAAAATTCAGGTAATTCAGGCTCCAAAGTATACTTTTGTGTGCCTACACTCTCTGTAGAGATACCATGATCGGATAGTCAGATAACCATATATTTTCCCTCATGTCAGCCTATGTGATCACCATATACTTCAAATATTTTGATAACTTTCATTCTCACTTGAATCACTTTAGAAATGTTATTAATATTTCCTACAGTACTTTTGAGATGTGTTTTTAAAACAATGCATTACCTAACAAGTTAATAAATTGAAAAATGCCAAAATATTGGTTAATTAAAATTACTTTCCAAAATCAGGATACAAACTTATGTAAAGTATGAACACAATTAAGAAGAAGAATAAAACCTGGGATAATGGTAGACTCCCATCTCAGTCTTCCTCCTCAATCCCTCAGTTCTTATAGGGATAGGGAAGAAAGGACCTTTTTTCCTATCCAATTGGCTTTCTAGCTTTTGGTTGCTTGGGGCCCTATCTATTCATCTTTATAGCTTTTGGCAAACTCAGGCAGTATCCATTCATCTTCTGAACTTTTGGCATGGTTGGACCCTAACCATTCATATTTCTAGCTTTAGCGTGCCCAGTGTAAGAACCTCACCCTACTGCCATCTTGACCAATGGAGATTTCTGAGCACTCTGGCTGTCTATGGTAACAACTCCTCTCTTCAAAACTCTGGATTCTTTAATCTTACAAGGTTAAATGGATGAAGGTCTCATCTTCTGTAGTTTCTTATTTCTGTCAAATGGCATAGTTTTATCTATCCTCAAGTCCAGAGATACTTACTATCTACTAAAAGGGGGGGTCAAGAATGAAGGGAAGGCTTTATGTGAGGTGTAAGCATTGCTGTCTTTGGAGGGTGGCATATGTGGTGTCTAGTGGATGACTTGCTGAAGAAGTAAAGCCAGTAGACTGCTT